ACCTCCCGACTTCCCCCTCCCGCCCCGAGAGCAGCACCTCCCAGCCATCCGATGGGAGGATGCCTTGCTGCCCGACGGCCGCAGCCCATCCTGACCCAACTGCCGCGGCGCTGCCCCTGCCGCTCCGCTGCCCGCTCCCCCGGCCCCCAGCTGCCCGGGGCCGACTGCCACGACGTCGCTCACGGGGCTCTCCACCCCGCGGCAAGCTTCTACGACGGCGCGACAGACGAAGCAACTAGTGCGCGGGGGTTCTGGCCTCTGGAAATCTTTCGGGTCACCGAAGAACCCTGCGGGTTCCCGTCGGGCGGCCAACCCTGCCCCGGCGCCCTTCAGTACCTCCCCGAGGGCCCTGACGGACTCCTCAGGGGTCCCTCCGCGGGACCCTCGCCCCCTGGGCACCGCCCACTTACCTCCAATCCCACTTGCGCTGCCTCGCAACCCTGTACACTTTCGCGCACCATGGCTCCTGCCAGCGCCTCCCATCCCGGAGGACGGTCGTGCTGCACGGAACGCCAGCCGCCGCTGCCGGGCCCCGCGAGCCCACGTCGCCCGTTTCCCCCACCCTCGGGCCCTTCCTCTCGGGCCTTCAGGGGACGCGCGAGCCCCGCGGGGACTCCGCCCCTGGCCCCCCTGCTTCGGCACCTCACTGTGTTGCCTCCGACCCTGCCGATCCCGTAGCGAGCTGCGCCGCCACGCATGCTCGCACTGCTCTCCGCTCCCGCCATGAAGGGGAGGACGAAGCGGGCGCTGCTGGGGCTCTCCTCCACCCCAGTACTGTGTGCCGCGCGTGCCTCGCTCCCGCATCTTGCGCTGGATCGGCGTGCCCCTCCCTGCCATCCGCGCCCCTGGACGTGCCGTACGGCGCCCCTCCTTCCTCTCATGCTCAGCCACGGCGGGCAGGGCCCTGCTGGCTGGCGTGTCACCTCACCGCCGTCCGCGCCGGGATGTGCTGTATGGCGGCTGAGTGCCGCGGGATCCAAAGCGATTCCAGAAGGCCCGGCCGCGAGCCGCGCTTCGTACTCTTACCGGCTCCGCCTTGTCGCTGCGTGAGAGATCGCTACCGGTATGTATGTATGTATGTATGTATGTATGTATGTATGTATGTATGTATGTATGTATGTATGTATGTATGTATGTATGTATGTATGTATGTATGTATATATATATATATATACGCACACACACATATATATTTATATATATGTATACACACACACACACACACTCCTTTTCCTATATTTTTATAAGCCCAGGCGGGGGGACCCCCCCCCCCCAAAACTGGACTCCCGGGATCTGGGGCTTTGGGATCCTCCGGACGGGCCTCGAAGCGGCCCCCCGGGCCTCGCAGGGCGTGGTGCGCTTCCGAAACGACCCCAGAGAGCCCCATACGGTCCACGACGACCCCCAAGAAGCCGTCATACCCCCAAAGATCGTCCCGAAACGTCCCAAGAGGCCTCCAAGAGCACTCCCAAGAAGGCCCCAAGAGGCAAAAATCATTGATTTTCTCTTGGTTTTTGGTGAATTTTGGGGTTCTCCTCTTTTCGGCTTCCCGACGCTCCAAGACGGCGGTCTTCTGGGCGTCCGAAGCCGCCTGGGAGGCTCCAAAATCGCCCCACAACCATCCGAAAGGGCTTCCAGGCAGTCCAAGAGAGCCCCAAAACGGCACAACAGGGGTCCAAGATGGCCCTCAGAGAGCCCCATGGCGGCCCAAGATGGCCCCAAGACACCCTCCGAAACATTCAAAATCGTGACCCGGTCGTTCAGGGAGACCGCGGTTGGAGGCAGGGGGGTGGCCCGAGGAAGCCCCCAGAGGCCTCCGGAACACGCCCAGGAGACCTCCAGAAGGACTCAAGAAAGCCTGAAACAACTTTTGCGAGGGCCCCAGAGGCGCTCTCTCCCAGGAGGAGCCTCCGCAAAAAGAGCTGAGGAGGATGGGGAGAATGTGCAGGGCATGGCGAAAATGAGGGAAAAAAACCATGGAGGAAGGATAACGAAAAACATTATCATAGCGGCGATGCCAGAAAAGGAAACAAGGAGTTATCGCTGAATTGTCGACTTGACCTTCCTACTAGCCCGCCTGCATACCAAACTTCAAGGACCAAGGTGCATGGCGCGAAGCGCCACTGCAGTCTTGTATACATACATATATATATATATATATATATATATATATCTAGATATATAAATCTGTGTGTGTGTGTGTGCATGCGCGTGTCGGCCCCCGTTGTTTTCCCTCGCTAAGCTTATCTCCAGCGTTCTTGCTGCCGGCACAGTGGCTCCCTTACTCAAGTGCCCCGGGCTGGTGTCCCTCCCGTGGCCCTCTCGAGAACCTCGCAAAATTACCCGCTCGCGGCCAGTGCATCTCGCGGTGCCAGCGTTGCTGCCTGGAAGAAACCCGAGTGTGCCGACTCGCTCCCAGTGAGCTTCTGGCTGCTTGCGTCACTGCTGAGCAACTCGTTCCGAGCGTGCTGCTTCGTTGTGGACAAGATCTGATCGAGAAGTTCAGTGCACACGGTCCAGCTCGATCCCGACGCGTAGTTGTCGCGTTGCCGACGGCGTTGGTGGGAACTTCACGCCGATCGCGCTAGCTCGCTTCCAGTGAACTTCGAGCTGCCAAGGCTGGTGAACATCAATTGCAAAGAAACTCATCCAGAGCGCGCCGGCTCGTTCCGGACAATATCTGGCCAATGCATTCAATTCGCTCGCTTGCCGACACACATCGCGTTGCCAACGATGTCGGCTGAAAGCTCACTGCAAGCGTACTGGCCCGCTTCTACTGAACTTTGCGCTGCCAGCGTTGCTGAGCATCATCTGCAAGGCCACCCAGTCCGCCGGCAGCAGGTGGGATTGACATCGAGGCGTCTGGAAAGTTCACAGTTCACTTCGAGCGTGCGCTTCGCCTCTGACGGGACTCGCGCTGCCAGCCTTGCTGCCGGGGCGCTTACTCCGAGCGCGCAGGCTCTCTTCCGTGGCGGCGCGCTCACTCTCGGGGTGGGCGCGCCTGCGGTCGCTGGGGGGCCGTGGTTCCGTTCACTGTGAGCCCAGGCGCGGACTGGCCTTCCTTTTCTCTTGCCTTCCGCCTTCGCCTCGTCTTCCTTTGTCTTGGCCCCGGCGACGAGCATCGACGAAGGGCAATCGAGAGCAGTCAGGGTTCTTCTGCGGTCATTCTTAGTTCCGCTACTCGCGAAGCAACGATCAGGAACTTCCCGCCCATCGCGTCCAACATGCCCCAGGGATTCACGCGGCAGCGCAGATGGATTAGGATAGTGCAGGATGACCGCAGCTCCGTCTCCGTTGGCCTGGAAAGTCTCCCTTATCAAACTGCCGTTGTCTTTGAGGAACGTGTGTCCCGGCCAAGGTACAGGAGGTGGGAAATGCGTGCTCATTATGCGGACGGCGCACTTGCCGTGCGTGTACGCTTGAAAGCCGTATAACGTCTCCTTGGGCCTCTGTTTCTCGTGGCCTTCTGCATCAGAAGCGTACGCTGCCTGCCCTGGAAACTCCAATGTCTGCTCACCGTTGGCGAACAACGCTGGCAATTCTAAATTCAAATGCTCTGTCACAGACTGCCGGCACTCACATATTTTGACCATGACATCATGCCGCCACCTGGTCTCCGAAGTCAAAGTGGTAGGCTCGACTTCTCCTCCCTCGCGCCGCCGCAAGATTTCATCATATTCACGCGGTGGTTTGAATCCTTGGCAATGGAACCGACTCACCTGGAATAGCGTAGAATCGCGAAACCAATCGTGCAGATCTTGTCGCTCTGGCACTGCCTCATGGTTCCATAGTCTCACTAGTTCTACGGTGTGCCCCTTAGATCCGAAATAACACCTGGCGCTGTTGCCCAATGCCTTCGGCACATACACGCACTCCTCGATGTCAAGGCTGACGAACCAATCCATTTCCATTTTGTGAGCCTCCTGTATTGCCATGTCTGCAACAATCAGCCTCCGACTCTCTACATCGCCATGGCCATCTGCATGCTTGCAGACGTCCTCGTAGACTTGATCCTCTTCGCGACGCTGGTAATAACGACTCTTGCTCCGAACCTGATCCCACCATTCGTCGTCCATTTTGATCACAGAAAGGCCGATGCCCTTCTGCTCCTCGGCAGAGGCGAATTTCTCCAATGCCTTCGCATGGCCGATACATTGATCCTTCGGGTCAGTGAAGTACATAAAGATATGATTCCATCCCGTGAGCCAGTGAAATCGCACGAAGCTGTCAACAACGCTGTCGTTAGCACTATGTATCATGACCGCAATCGCTAAGCCGTGCTTGTAAGCGTACGGGAAGTCTTTCACGAAAGCTGGATCCGCATCGCACCATTTGCAAAAATCCAGCGGAGCAACCTTGTCCCTTGGGGGCTTCAGGCCGGAAGGCTTCACAAAGAGGTTTAATTCCTCCCACCTGGGCACGTTCGGGTACTCGTTCGGCTCACAGCGCTCCAGGGCTTGTTCCCGATCGTCCTCCAGCATTTTCTCTGTTCCTTCCGTGAAGACAGGGATATACGCCTTTTGATGGCCCCAGAGGCCGCTCCACTCCTCCGACGGATGCAGCTCCAGCCACGTGCCCTGCTTAACGATCCGTTCCCCGCGCACCAGCTCATCTTGCCTCCTCTCTCCTGTGGGTTTATGCAAGTGCACCTGCGCCTGCTGGCCTCCCCGCCCTCCGCCTCCAGCGGGGAGAGGGGAGGGACAATGGGGTAAGGTGGCTACGGAGTGAAGGGTGGGGCGACGAGCCTGCTTTGGTTACAAGGTCTCCCAGCGCTTTGGACATGCGGTCGGGGCGGGAATAGATGTCGGCAGGCTCGGGGCCCACGACGCGGAAGTAGATGCGGCGGTCGTCCGCAGAGTCCTCCTCCTCCTGTGGAAGCGTGGCCTTGGCCGCTAGCCGCGAGGCCATCGCGCGGGCCAGCGCCTCGTCCACGAGGCGCTCGAGCGCCACCATACCTGGGAAATCTTGGCCACTCCGTCCGCACACCTCCTGTGCGACGCGCACCTTCAAGATGCCGTGACGCGTTTTTTCGTTGCCCTTTGGGCGTCTCTCGGAGCACGGCGAGGCGAGACCACGGCATCTCAGAATCGGTCCCCGGGCCCTGCCCGGGCTCCAGAGGCACCAGTCTTCTCCGAGATGCGGCCGGGCGTGGCGACGAGGGGACCTCCCGAAGGCCAGCTACCACTGTCTCGTCTCCCCCTCCTCGGAGACTCGGGGCGTGCAGGATAAACACGATGGGGCACCCGAGGAATCCCGCGAACCATTCGGAGCCAGGGAGTCTGGGGTGCACGCGAGGCCAGCCAGCACCCCAGGAGAAAAAACGCCAGGGCGCGCTGAGGGTGAGCACAGCTCCTCCATCAGGAGCCTCGCCTGCGACTCCTCCACGCCCAGGCCGAGGCAGGCGGCGATCCCTCGAGTCCGCGCCTTCGTCCACTCGAAGGCGGGCGCAAAGTGGACCGCCGCGCTCGCGTCGACGAGCGCCTGCCGGAAGTCTCCCAGGCGCAGGGACGCCTCCGCGCGGGCGCCGAGCACCTCGCAGGCCTGCTGGGACCACTCGGCGCCACCGTGCCGAGAATCTCCCACACCCCTTGGACCTCGGGAAGCGCCCACCCCCCCCCCCCCCCACCCCCCCCCCCCCCCCCCGATCCTCGTCCTCATCCTGTAGAGGCCTCCCAAGTGGGGTCTGAGTAGATGGGGTTGGAGGATCGCATCGCGTCGCCGATGCATCGCCGATGCATCGGCGATGTCGGCGATACGTCGGCGTCGCTGGCGTGGGGAAAATCGGGCTCCACATCGAGCCGCATCGCCTACATCGGCGATGCGGCGCGGTCCTCCGACCCCATCTGCTCGGAACCGATCTGGGAGGCCTAACTCCTTCTCGTCCAGCGAGTTCAGGAGCAAAGGAAGGGCAACCACAACCGCTGGGCTGAGGGAACCGCCCCTGGCGTCCCCCGCCAAGGCCGACCCCGACCCCCCAGCGGTGATGACCTGCGCCCAGCGCTGATTTCGAGCGCCCAGCGCAGGTCATCACCGCTGGGGGGTCGGGGTCGGCCTTGGCGGGGACGCCAAATCTTCGGCAGACTAGAACCCCCAGACCTTCGACGTCGTGATTTTTCATGATGTGGACCCGCAATGGTCTGGACTCCTTCCCAAGGACCGTCTTTTCATCCTGCGCCATCTTTTGAAGGTCCCGAGGCCCTGTATGGGCCCCTGGAAGCCGAAAACTATCAGAACCCGCTCGTCGTGACTTTTTCATGGCCCGAGAGGGTCTGGGCCCTCAGAAGCACCTTCGCGATCCAGTACCGACCCTGAGCAGTCCCGATCCTGACCTGGCTGGCCCGAGTCCGCCCCAGGATCGCGAAACACCGCGCTGATCGAGGGTGGCCCGAGCGACCGCTCTGACCCGGATCTTGGCCGACGGATCGGCCTGGTCAGCGGCTTGATCGAGCTGTGATCGGCGGATCCTACGGTCAACAGCTTTTGCTTGGCGTGTCGCGGCGGCGGTCCTGGCGACACGCTATGCCCTGCGAGCGGACAGCGTGTCGCTCCGCTCCGCGGGGCGGGAGGCGGGGAGAGGCTCGGGACGTTGACGCCTAGGGAGTGGAGCCGTGGATGGCGTCTCGCCTTTTCTAGTGGCCCTCCTAACCCGAATTGCTCGTAGACGCCGCGCCCCCCTCGCTCTATGCTACATCCCTCCCCCCCCCCCCGTATACGCTTCGCCTACCCGAATTTGCCCCGTGATTCGCGGATCACGCGGCCCCCCCTCCCCCCCGCCCGGTCCCATCTTCGTACGTATCCCCCTTCTGTAGCCACGCATACCGATCTTTCACCACCACCGTCATGCTCTCCCCATCCTCCGCCGGTCCCGTGCAGACTAACTTGGCCCGGGCCGAAGCTTCGCGGGCCAGAATCGACGGCGCGACGCTGGGAGCCAAAATTCACCTACCGTGAATCACTCAACTTCGCGCATCGCGCCCCGCGATGCAAGACGCCGGGCTGTCTTCGCGCCCGTGCGTCCACGACGACGACGACGACGACGACGACGACGACGACGACGACGACGACGCCGACGACGACGACGACGACGACGACGACGACGACGACGACGACGACGCGCGGGCGTCATCTCCTCAGAGGCCAAGCCGCGGCGCGCGAGGCGCGACCGCGTCTTCCCGCGCCTGAGGGCGGCCCAGGGGGCACAGGGGGGACGCCCTCTGAGTCCGGGGCACGCGAGCGAGTGGCACTCGAAGGCGCGGCCAGCCGCCACTAGCACGGCCTTCGGAGGCTCGTGGCGGCCTCTGATCCCTCATGACTCCTCCCTCTCTCCCTCCTGACTCTCTCCCACTCCTTGGCGGCGCGCACAGGGGGGTAGGGGTAGGGGGGAAGGCTTCTTAGAAGGAGGCCGCTTCTTTCGAATGAGCGGGCCTCACATCTATAAAGAAGGCCCGCACCTTCTAAGCAGGGGCGCTCCTAAGAAGCCCTCCCCCCTCCCCCTTCCTCCCTCTGCCGTGGCCGAACTCCTCCTCCCTCCCTCGGTGCATTGTCCTCCCTCCCTCCTGCCTCCTCGAGCACCCAAGACGACTCCGCACTTGTCTTGCGAGCATGGTCTCCCCTCTTTGCTTTGGTCAGGGGTGCCTCGCCAGTGTCACACCAGGACCGCCCTTGCTGTTGTCTCGCTGTCTCCGCCGTGCACTCTTGCCCTGCCTCGCGCTGTCTCTTCACTGTACGTAGGGGTGGCAGTGAGCCAGTGGGTCCCTCGGTCCCCTCCCTCCTCCCACTCCTCCCTCCTCCCCTCGGATCCGACAGTTTGAGATCTTGCAATATCGCGAAAACTCACGACACGAACCCGACGCCCCATCTTTCTGCGTCGTTCTTCGAGCCAGATCGACGTGTGAGGGTCCCAGGGCCTGAGAGCAGGCAGACACGCACGCTGTGAAGAAAATGCAGCACCCGGATCTCAGGGCCCTTCGCATGCCACTCGGCGAGGACGAGGGGAGGGGGGAGGCAGTGAGCCAGTGGGCGTGGTGATAGCCCCTGCCGCCTGCCAGTGCCCGCCCTTCGCAGCCTTCTCCGCCTCCTGCGCGGAGCGAGAGGCGCGCGCGCCCGCAGCTGCCGCCCTCCCCGCTCCCCCCCACGCACACTTTCACTTTTCACTTTCGGGTGGAAACCGAGAAGGGAGCGCGACAGGCAGGAGCAGGAGGAAGCGAACGAGGAGCAGGGGGATGATGGTCAGACTTGTGAAGAGGGGAGGAGGAGGAGGAGGAGGAGGAGGAGGAGGAGGAGGAGGAGGAGGAGGAGGAGGAGGAGGAGGAGGAGAAGGAGGAGGAGGAGGAGGAGGATGGAGGAGGAGGAGGAGGAGAAGGACAGGAAGGGGAGGAGGAAGAGGAGGAGGATAAGGAGGAGGAGGAAGAGGAGGAGGAGGACAGGACGGGGAAGGAAGACATGGACAAGAAGAAAAGGCAGGATAGCAAGGAGGGAGAGGTTTCGGATCGTCGTCGCTCGGACTCGAGGCGTACTCGATCGTTTATCGTCTCTGCACTCCACTCTCCTCGCATGACTCTTAGAGACTCTCGGCTTGCAACGAGCGTGGCATTATTACGTGCTCTCTTTTTCCCTAGTCAGAAAACCTAGAAACACGTGTGACACCGGTAGACACAAAACACATATAGACATCGGCGTATGTACTATTGAATTACGCAGTGCGCGAAACACCACGCATGCATAGTGTATGAGATACATAAACAGGAGCGAAAGCAGGCGGACGATGTTTACCAAGAGGCGAGCATCGGCGTTTAGGCCAATCTCTATCGCGATGGCACGCGCGCCTGGTGGGGAGGAACGGGAGGATATCATAGCGAGCGTCAGAGAACCATGAGCTGCTGCTGCCCCTCCTCCTCCTCCTCCTCATCTTCTTCTTCTTCTTCTTCTTCTTCTTCTTCTTCTTCTTTCTCCTCCTCCTCCTCCTCCTCCTCCTCTTCCTCTTCCTCCTCCTCCTTCTCCTCCTCCTCCTCCTCCTCCTCCTTCTCGTCGATCTCGGGCGCTGCGCCCGGGATCCTGAGCAAAATACTGCCCGCCATGGTGGAGGCAGTCCGGCCACGTCCCGAACGTCAGCACGTCGGGCGCGGGCTCTCGGCCCTGGGCGGCCGGGGGCCGCTCGACGGCGGCAATGCGCCCACAGCCTCCTCCACCTCCACCTCCACCTCGTCCTCCTCCTGCTTCTCCTCCTCCTGCTCCTCCTCCTCCTCCCTTTTGTTGGACGTTGATCGGACTTCAAGCACGGGGCTCGCAGCGTCCTCCTCCTCCTCCTCCTTCCGTCCCTCATCTCACACAATCTCCTCCTCCTCCTCACTCCTCCCATTCCTCTTAGCCATCCCTTTTGTGGGAAGCTGATCCGGCTTCAAGCAACGGGGACTTGCAAAACGTATCCACTTCTTCTTCCTCAGTCCTATATCTGTCACACTTCCGTCTTCTCTACCTCCTCCTTCTCCTCCTCCTCCTCCTCCTCCTCCTCCTCCTCCCGAGTTTCGCCGCCGAGGGACCTCCCCTCCTCCCTCCGGAGAGCACCCGAGGGACCCTGCGGGGGGCGACCCGACTAGAAGAACAACACAAACTGGCATGCACATGAGCTTTCGCATCTCCGCGCGGATTTCCCCGATCGGCGCTGGGCCGCCCTCCCTGGCGCGCGGAGCGGGCCAGAGGCAGCGCCAAAGACGCCGCCGGGGGGTCAAGCGCGAATCCAAGAGCTCCGCAGGGAGCTCCGAGAGTTTTTGTCGATGCCCTTCTTCCTTCTCCGACCAAGGGGGCATCGGCCAAGAGTGTTCCCCGGGCATGGGGGTGTGTACACTGGTCCCGGCCAGCGGCGGTGGACATCTGCATGGATCTCGTCGCCCTGCTCAGGGGCCCAGCGGGAAGCGACCCATCTGCCTCTGGCCTCCCCAAAACGGTGTCGGCCAGGGCTGTTCCACGGGTCGCTACGCTACGGTCGGGAACTTTCGGATGGCGTGTCGCCACGACGGTCCCAGCGACACGCTATGCCCTGAAAGCGGATAGCGTGTCGCTCCGCTCTGAGGGGGCGGGAGGCTTGGCAACGCCCGATACCTTGACGCCTGGGGAACGCGAAGTGGATAGTGTGTCGCTCTGAAGCTCGGTGGGCCAGAACCAGCAGAGCGACACGCTATCCAAAAGTTCCCGTTCGTACTCCCGATCGGCCCGTGCCCATATTGCAGCCCACATGGTCGAGTCCGTTCGCGCCAATACGGTCGGGGCCTCCAGGGCAGAGTGGCCGCTCGGGAGGGGGCAGGCGCCACTTCTCAGGGCAGCGCAACCTGCACGATGTCGCTGGCATTTGGGCATCCAGAGGGGACCCAACTGCACCAGCCCAGGACCAGTTGGCACCGAAATCGGATCGGATCGGCCGCGCCAAGATACACAACGGCGTCGTGCAACCATCGGGCAGTATCGGATTACTGGAATTTCAAAACCGAATGGGATCGGGCGAAATCGGTGTCGAGTCGGATCGGGCTGATCGAAATGGACTTCACACTGGCCTTCTTACAAAGGGTCTCTCTCTCTATATATATAGATAGAACCCCTATGCAAGCCTTGCTGGCGAGCAGTGGTTGAAAGCCGCTGGGCCCAGCGGAGACCCCCCCAAGGCAGCCTTCTAAGCAGGCGGAGGGGATTCCCAGAAGGGGGCAGTCCCTTGCTACTCACGCGCCTCACAGCTTCTAAGGGGCGGGGTGCTTTCTTAGGAGGCCGCCTCCTGAACCTCTCAGGAGCGAGCCCCTGCCTATCAGGGAGAATTCATCCTTACTGGCGGCAACATGTGCCGCACCCACAGCAGCTCAGCCACACGTGTGCCACAATATGCCTACTCGTGGCCTGCTGTAATCCGAGGTGGGCCTTAAAGCCGCCGCTTCTTTCGCGCGCCACTGAGGGGGCCTGGCTCTGCCGGGTGCCGCTCGTTGGCACGAAGAAACAAATGTCCTGGTGGAAGCGGTTCCGGGAACAAGGGGTCCTCCTGCCTGACCACGGTTTCATCCCGAGTCCTTTTATACCCCCTCTTCTGTTTGGGTCTCCGTCTTGGATATCAGAGTGAGGGGGCCGAACGGTCATTCATTTTCCCTGGGTGCGTGGCTGAATAAGGAGTTCGTGGTGAGAATTCTGCTTGTTATTATTGTTGTTGTTTGCTGTCGTTGTCCCACCGGCGACACACCCGCGACCCATTTGCGACCCACCCGCGACGTACCCACATTGGTTAAACGAAAAAGTCGGCGCCTGCGGCAGGCTCATTGTATAATTTGTGTACTTTTGGCGCCTGCGGCGGGCTTCTCCAGAATCTCACAAACTGCCGGCGTCACCACCGCCCCCTCACTCTCATCCGCATCTGCGGGGTGCTACGAGAAGTACTCCTGCTTCTCTCCTCTCCCGTCCCCTCCCTCCCTTCTCCTTGTTTCCTCTGCGCTTGTTGTCTCACCCCTCCTTCGGTGTGGCACTTGTTTTGAACATAGCATTCCGGATCCTTCCTTCTTTCCTCCTCCCGTCCCTCTTCCCCTTACTCCTTCCCGCCTCCAATTGCCCCTCCCCCTGCCGTGCCCCGACCTCGCTCCGACGCGCATGCGGGTCGCCTCTGCCGGGCTGCGGCGTAAAACAAAAATTCGCCCCCTCCCTGGGTGTTGCCAGCCGCGGAATGTTCTGGTGCTTTTTCGTGAGTTCCTGGGAGGTCCAACGGACAGCGGTATGATCCGGATCCAGATGAGACCTCGCTTCCTTGGGCGCTGCCCAGTGCGCAACTGTCGTTGCTTTCGTGGGCTCCCGGGGAGTCAAATGGAGCGTGGTACTACGAAGATCCGAATGAGATGTCGTCCCTCTGGGTGCTGCCAGTAGCGCAGCGGTCGCCACGTTGGTGAACTCATGGGAGGCCCAGCGGAGTGCACCATTGCCGACATTTGAATTCGACTTCGCCTCCGACGGCGCTGGCAACAGCGCAGCTGTCGCCACCTTCGTGAGCTCCTGGGATGTCTAGCGGAGTGGCGCGTACGCAGATCCGAATGCGACGTCGCCTCCCTGTGTGATGTCAACTGCGCAGCAGTCGTCATTTTCGTGAGCCCGTTAAAAGTCCAACAGAGTGCGGTCCTACCGTTATCCAGTGTCGACCTTGCCTCCCAACCCACAGCGCAACTGTCACCACGTTCGTAAGCCCAACGCAGCTGTGAGCTCCTGGGAGGTCCAACGGGCCGTTCTACAGGGAAACCTCGACACCCTGCGTGCTGCCAACAGCGCAACTGTCGCCATGTTTGTGAACTCATGGGAGGTCCAATGTCGCTACGTTCGTGAAGTCATGGGGTGCCAGCAGAATGACTCCCTACGCAGGCCCAATCAAGACCTCGTCCCCCTGGGGAATGTCAACTGCGCAACTGTCGCCCTTTTGGTAAAAGTCGACCTCGACGCCACGAGGTCACCGTCGACGCCGGCTACAAGGACGCCGACGGAATGGACGGGCCGTGGTTGCATCCGTCCGTCAAACATTTCAAAACCACGGTGTCGGACAACTGGCTTTTGATCCGCGACCTGTGGCTGGAACTTCTTTCCCAGAGGTCGCCCGCGGACCTGGCAGCGCGTGGCTGGACGGAAAAGTGCAGGGAAGTGCCAGAAATATTGACGGCCCCGCTCGGCCTGGCTATGCCACTGCACGATTGAGCGAGAGAGCCGTCAGCGCGCGCGCGCGCCGAAACACTCGTGTGCTTCTACGCGTCTCACGCCCACCCGCGCACGGGTGGCCGCGCGCGCGGCTGCAACCTGTACGTGACCACACTGGGCGGCGCAGGCTGTGGCCACGATGTGGGCTGTAAGCCCCAACCCAGGACGGTTGCTGTCGTCGTCACCGATCGCATGTCTTTCCTCCTCGCCCTCCACGCCGTCCTCTCCCCTCCTGGCGATGATTGTCGTCCTTGCGCGTGCCACCATGCCCCTCATTTTGAAATGCCCCTTATCCACATTGCTGTCGTCTTTTTGCGGCTCCCTCCATTTCCTCTCGTTTGACACCGCGTTGTGCAACTCCACGGGGGCGCGCAAACCGTAGGTTTCCCATGCGGCCTGCGCACGGGACAGCGCGCCCTTTCGAATGCTCATTCCCCTTGGGCGGGCCCGTGGATGTTGCCACGCGTCGTGGATGGGTTGGGCACGCCCCTGGGTAAGCTTACGGTCCTGGGGCCCAAGGATGTCCCTGGGACCAGTCTCCAGGATCCGTTTCCTCCAAAGCTTGCTTCCTTGGCGCCGACCCATTCGAGCTGCCCCCCTCGCGTGCCGCCGAGGAGAGCCCGGCTCTCGAGCGGGAGTGCTGCTGCTCAACCTCGCACGCCATTCGCGTAAAAATCTTGCAGGTGGCTGTCTTCCGATGCCTGCCCGTCCAGCATGCGCTGGCTTCGCCTGCCCACCTGTGCATGCCGACTTGCCCCGCGCAGCCCACCACCTGCAACGTGTGGTGGAATCGGATGCTCGAACGTGCCCAGTTTTAGTTCTTGCTGTGGCGACGTCACTCGGCTGCTGGAGGAAACATGTGATCCGAAGCCCAGTGCCATGCTCCGGGACTACATTTGCACAGTGCTCCTGCCGACTAGCCGTCGGCTCTTGACTCGACTTGGCTTGACTTTGGGGGAGTCCAACAGAGGGGACGGATCGCAACTCATGGCCCGAGGCATGTGCGGCGCGGACGGGGGGGCCCAAGGAACGTGATTGATTAAGACGAAGAACCAGAGGGGGCTGTGAAACTCGGGGAATATCATGCCCCCCCATGTTGCCTCCCTCTCTAGTCCTCACTTGTCGCCGCGCCGTTCGTCTTCGACGCGCCCAAGTGGACGACGCCGACACCACGGCAAACCCGCGGCAAACCCTGCGCCCCGCGCCAAAGTAGACGACGCTGGCACCGCGGCAAAGCCACGGCAAACCCACCGCGTCCGAGGCGGAGTTTGCCCTGGTGGCCACGGCCCCCTTCCCAAGACGCAAGACCGCACGTCGGAACAAACGGCGCGGTGACACCCCAAGAGTGACCTTTGATGCGCGGCTTTAAAAGGGTTGGGGGGGAAACCCAAGCGCGCAAGACGCTACTGTCGCATCGCGTTCGGCGATCGGGGAACCCCAATGGGCCCGCACCAAAGGTTACTCTGGCGAAGCGTCCCTCTCTCCTGTAGTCGACCCCCTCCCTAGTCCTCGCCTCCCTCTTGGACCCCCCCGAGGACTCGAGGGGGCGCCCGACTCTGTCGGCCGCCGCTCCCGTCTCTGGACCGCCCCCGAGCCTGCAGCACCTTCCAGCCGGCCGCCGGCACCGACAGCTGCTCGGTCCTGGCGCCGCGGGGGGCCGGACGCCCCCGCCGCCCCCCGCTGGAGCGAGTCGCGGAGGCGTCGCGGAGGGGGAGCGGACGAGGGGGCGGAGCAGAGTCGGGCACACGCCAGCATCTACTACGGATCCGTGGATCTGACGCGTGGGCGCCAGATCCACGGATCGGGGAGGCGCCCCCGCGAAGCAGGATGCCGGCGCAAGCCTGACTTGCAGGCGGAGCGCGCCGACTTTGCATGGCAGCGGGGCCCGCCGTCAATCCACGCGGATGGGAGGAGGGCGGAGGAGGGGGCGTGTCCCCCCATTGGTCGGGGTCAGGGGCTGCGGCGCGCCGGCCAGAGGGGGCTACGTGCATGTGCCAAGTTACCTCGGGCCCAGGAGCTCGGAGAGTCCCGGGGGGCCGCAGGGCCCCAGGGCCTGCGGAACAGCGTCCCAGGGCCGCCAGGGGTTACTGCGCTGTTGTTGGTAGCGCCAGTGCAGGAGCATGTCGCTCAGCGGGCGAGGGGGAGGAAGAGAAGCAAACAGTTCCTCCGTGGCAGTCCTCCCGTTCCTCTGCCCCGGCTCCCTCCAGGGTCGGGGCCCGCTCCAAGTTAGCCAGATCTCCACGAGAGCCCCGGGGCGGTCGGGTTTTCTTCTGTCAGCGGGCTCGCGCCACAGTCGCGGATCCCCTGGAGCGCTCATATGGGTAGGGGGGAAACAAACCTACCTCGCTTTTGACCACCCTCGCTTCCAAGAGATACCAAACGATGCCAAATTGCAGCCTGTACTGGTCAGGCCGCTTGACGAGGAGGCGCATGGTATGGCTTGGTTTTGCCTGGAAGCGAAAGCGGGGTAGGTAATTCACGCTCTGAATGGGGGCAGAATCCTCCATTGACGACGGGGCCTCAAATCGAAAGCAGAAGCAGAGGACGGCCGTCTGCCCTCCGCCTCCTCGTCCGCCCCGGTGCTCCTCTCGGGCCTCCGCCCTCCCGCAGGATGCGCGCAGGAGGGGTGCCGGGCCCGGGGGGAGGGCGGGAGAATACGAGAAGGGAGGAGGAGTACGAGGAGGGAGGAGGGAGGATGAGGATGATGATGAAGGGGATGATGACGATGAAGACGACGACGATGACGATGGCGAGAACGATGATGATGATGGCGGTGATGGTGATAGCCGTGGTAATGATGGTGATGATGGTGATAATGGTGAATATGATTATGCTGATGATGATGGAGGTCACACGGTTGATGCTGATGTTCATGATGCTGATGCTGACGATGATGATGATGACGCCGATGCTGATGTTGTTGTTTTTTTCCCGACGCAACGACGGCCATGACCGATGACAACCAATGGGGGTAGTCCATGCAAGTCCGATGTCCGCTTTGGCAACGCAGGCAATCGAATGGCAGAACGTGTTGCAACCTGCGTTGTCTAGAAAGTGCATCATTTTGCCGCTGAGGCTGTAACGCGGGCCCGAATGAATAATTTGCAGGCCGCGATCTTCTAGCTGGAAGAGACGAGGAGTAGGGCGGTGGAGTCCAAGCTTCCGATTCCAAGAAAGTCAGGAAGAGCGACAGGGAAGGGGACGAGGCGATGGCGGACGCGAAGGCCCCGCTCGAGACCATCATCGAAGGCAAGGGAGGACGGGGCAAAGGGGGGGCGTCACCGCGGCGGTCGCCGCCACCGACGCGGAGGACACACAGAGAAGAAATGGACGAGCAAAGACTTGAACATCCAGCAGTGCCTGGCTACGATCGCCAGGCTCACACTGCAGACGGCGCAGCGCCAACGCATGACGATGGCGACAATGGTGGACACGTTCACGATGCCGAAGAACCACCCGTCATTCTTCAGCTCCAGGCGGCGCTCGAAGAGATCCACAAGGCCGTGCAGGCCGCCCGAGAGGCAGGAGCAAATCAGCTTCGTGCGGTTGGCAGCACGACAGCCTCCCTGGCGGTCTCCCTGGCCGAGACGCTGCAGAGTTGCGACGTGGGAGGACGGTGGAAGGAGCGCGGCGACTACCTCGACGAGGTCGAGCCGCCTCGGGGCGGCGAACCCCTAGTAGACCGCAACCAACTGGAGCTGGACATGCAGGCCATCAAGATCGAGCAGCCCCACGACGAGACCAAGGCCACGCTGTTGCTCGCGGCGCCCCGCACGCGTTCCTGGCGGAGGGCGTCGAGACGAGGATGATTGGCGTGATGCCCGCGGGGTGGCTGGAGGACGAGGTCGCGACCTGGTCGGACGTCCTGCAGCGCAGCTGAGGCGCCCCGTCGTTTTCGTTCGAGGCGAGACCGTCGGCGACATTGTGCAGCACCCTCCTAGAAATCTCCTCCAGCTCCGCCGACGGGTGGCGTAACCTGGGTGTTAATTTTTACGTCTCTCCCAGCTCTGGTCGCTGCTCATTCTCGAGTCACGCGAACAATGGCGCAGGGAGGACGAAGCCAACGAAGAGGCAGCTCAGTGTATCTTCGACTGATGAGATCAGGCGCATTGTAGTTCCTCCCTCCAATGATTTAGTCTCGTGGGCGAATAGTTCGGCCCTCACGCTACACAGTGTGAGATCGATGACACAACTCAGGAGTGTCTTGCCTCGCTGCCTGCTACTGCCAGCCTCTCGTGTTCAGGGGGTCGCGGAGGCGCGCGCCCCATGCCTGCGTGACGGACCAAAATATAGGACTACAGTGCAATATAAGACTGCAATGCAGTCCTGCGACAACTCGCCACTTATGTACCGTACCGTTTTCAATGGCTTCTGGGCTCCCTCGCCGGTAAAAAAAAACTCCTCCTCCTCCTTCTCCTCCTCCCTGTTAGGCTGGAGGTTCTTTCAATTCCCCCCCCCACCCCTGACTGCCCGACCCGATCCGACCCCTTTCCCCTGCAGCCCCAGCCCCAGCCCCAGGCCGAGCCGGGATCGAGCACGACTCCGAGGCCGAGCTCGAGCCCAAGCCAGAGCTTCAAGCCCGACGCAGGGGAAGAAGCGCACCCCGCGGGGGCGACCCAGTCCTCACCCCGTACAGCGGGGAGCCACCACGGCCAAGGAGGCCGAGCTCGAGCCCAAGCCAGAGCTTCAAGCCCGACGCAGGGGAAGAAGCGCACCCCGCGGGGGCGACCCAGTCCTCACCCCGTACAGCGGGGAGCCACCACGGCCAAGGACGAAGCCGTGCCGGGTGGTGCCTGGCGAC